GTAGTGCGGTACAACAACATTTAGACGAGAAAAGAGATATGGTGCATGCGTTCCAAGTCCAACAAATGGATAATAGAGATGCGCAGACGCGTAACAGTAGTGCGGTCCAACAACATTTAGACGAGAAAAGAGATGTGGTGCATGCGTTCCAAGTCCAACAAATGGATAATAGAGATGCGCAGACGCGCGACTATATTGCGGTCCAACAACTATGAACTCATGACCATAAGCAGAAATGTTGAGCGGAAGCTAAAAATCCGGTTGATTTAGTTCAGACACATTATGTTTTTAATAGGGGCCACCGCAGAGTTAACTATATATTGTTTGATTGCTATATATCTTTAGAGCAGTCTACAAATAGAACCTATAATAACATCTAAGATAATTGAGCCGTACTTGTTCAATTACCGCCTTCACATTTCCACCCTTTTCAAATGCCAACTGAGCCCAGCAATTAAAGCCTTCAACTTTAATGTTTTACTGACCCTGATCGGCACATCTTAAGGTCAGGATTTCAAGGATGTTTTTCAATATCATGATTCCACGCAAAGACGAATAAACTTGAAAAAACAACTCCATTCGTATGGTTCTCTGCACGTAGTTTCATCCTCGAAAATCTCAATGGCCTTTTTTATTATAGTCAAAACAGTGCCCTATATTTACTTAACGAGGCTTTCTGTGAGAGAGCGGGGCACTCCCAGTAATGGGATCTGGGAATATACTGGGTCTGAGACGGGTACTCCTAGTAATGGGTTAAGAAGAGATAACTAGCTAAAAACTAGTGTGAGCTTCGTCAGTGTTTCTAATGAAACAGTAATGATAAAAGGGTAAATTTTACACCGTGAAAAGATGAAAAAATTACCGACGTTTCGGAAGCTAGTCCTTCCTTGGAGTAAAAGAGACATTAATAGTAATGGGTTCCTGATCTGGGATTATACTGGTTTCACAGACATAGAATGGTAGACGGGCACTCCTAGTAATGGGTTCCTGATCTGGGATTATACTGGTTTCACAGACATAGAATGGTAGACGGACACTCCTAGTAATGGGTTCCTGATCTGGGATTATACTGGTTTCACAGTCATAGAATGGTAGACGGGCACTCCTACTAATAGGCTCCTGATCGGAGAATGTGCTAGTTCAGGATTGTATGGAACCCAAGGCTATCAATTCATGTAATCCCTGATGTGGATGCAGGCTCCTAGTAACAGCGTCCTGTTCTTTTTTATTTTTATTTTGCGTTTTCTTTATTTTAAAGAAGACTACGTTTCGAAGAGTATTATTACTATACTGAGTTCAATGTTTTGTTTTCAACATCCATCATACAGGTTCTCAACTCTTTTCATGGCATTTATCAGTGGTTTCACTTGGTAGGGAAAGAGGGACCCCTCATTTAGTCGTTCAGCAGCAATTCTAGTGTGGATAAGTGTTGACATGATCTTCTCCAACATCGTGCACATACCATCACTTTGTAATTGAATGCCACAGGAACTGCTGATCTCATCGTGTTCGTCATCGTCAATAACATCATCATCGACATCCCCTTCATTAACATCAACATCATCTGTGACCATTCCACGAGCAAGGCAAGGCATTTGTTTATCGTCGCCATCACCATGATTCATATCATCGATGCAAGCAATACCCATATTAATATCATTAACATCATTATCGTCCTTATTCTTTTCATCCTTCCATGCACTATTATAGACAACACAGTTATCGCCTTCATTACTATAATTCCTTTCACGATCACATGCACGGCCCGTATAATTATTAAAATCGTTATTTATCTCTACCTTAACGCCACTAAATATGTAGGTATGATCAGCATTATCATAGCTAGATATGCTAACTTTTGTATTGCTATTATGGATATCAACATCTTCTAAATGTCCTTGTCGGTCATCAGGATAGCTCTGCCTTATATATGTAAAATTTTCGTCCTCCTCCTCCTCATCACCATCGTCCTCAGTATCACTTCCATAAGCAGATAAGATATTTGAAAGGCCATCCAAACCCTTTAGTGAAGATATAGTTGATACATCCCCAGAGTTAGCATGATTGCAAGCCATTATTCCTTCTGGAAAAGAAGCCGGTTTACCATCTGGTGGATTGGAAATCTCCCTGCCCTTATCATGCTGAATTTGCTGACATTCTCTTAAGGTTTGTTTAGTTTCTGATTGGACATCGGTAATTATAGTGCTTTCAAATAAATGGTTGCAGTTTTGACAAAAGTCTTGCCAGTCTTGTAGAACGAAGTGGAGATATTGCATCAGATACTCAAGAAAGACAGTCTCAGATGAGATGAGAAAATCCAGTAAGACTGAATAATCAAAATCAATAACCTTTAAGAATGCCTGGAAAACAAGGTGTGGGTTTATGGTGTCCAGGATGGCTGTGGCATCTTGGTAAGCTGGCTCCCTACAAAAACAACAATGAAAATTTGATGTATAACAAGAATATGATGTATTTTCTTAAATTTTTGTTCCTAATTGCAAGGATTAGCTTTAGGCATATTTTTTAATGACATGACGAGCTGGAGAGCCCATTTTACGGTAAACAGCATGTAGTCTTGGTTGCTACAGATAATAGTTAATCCAATTTCCTTGATGTCAAGATGACGAATGCCAGGCAAAAACATCAAGCATCTGTAAATATGCCTACACTCGATCTATTTAGAGTTATAAACCATGTCGCTCGGCTATGAAAGTCCCAATAAGACACCCAAAACATAATATACTTGTCATATAATCACTTATTACCTGTAGCATTAAAAATGCCAATGAAACAATTTGATTGAAATAAACATTTATGAAAATATATACCTTTGACCCGCTCCCAAAAGAACAACACCAGCAACACAAGCTAAGAACAGACGTATTATGTAMAAAACAGAAACAGAGTCACATCTATCACAAAACACAGTGATCTAAGTAAGCATACAAATTATACAGGTATACGAGTACCTAAGTATAAATGTGCCTACAGATCTAGTACATAACAAGGACAGTGATCTAAGTAAGCATGCAAATTATACAGGTATATGAGTACCTAAGTATAAATGTGCCTACAGATCTATTACAAGGCACGAACAGTGATCTAAGTAAACATACAAATTATACAGGTATACGAGTACCCAAGTATAAATGTGCCTACAGATCTATTACGAGGCACCAACAGTGATCTAAGTAAGCATGCAAATTATACAGGTATACGAGTACCTAAGCATAAATGTGCCTACAGATCTATCCCAAAACACAGTGATCTAAGTAAGCATGCAAATTATACAGGTATACAAGTACCTAAGCATAAATGCTGCCTACAGATCTAATACAAAGACAATAAACGCACATCACATACATAAAATAACAGCAAAAGGGTTAGATAGGCAGTTATAATGTGTAAGAAAAACCTGAAATCCTTTGATCTTGGGCAATAGTTCATCGAAACGTTCTCAGTGACCCTTTCAAATAAAGCGCCACAGTAGAGTCACATGATATCTTATAACGACGTAAATATTGTTTCAGTGATGTAATGCACAGTCTATTGATAGTGGCATGCTATGTGCTCATGCTGTGTTAATCCGTACGATGACATGCATTACGCAAGTATTCCCTATGCAATGAATAGAAATGAAATCTGAGACCAGCACTTTGAAAGTGCTGCTTCACGCCGGTAACTAAGCCGTGTAGCTCGTCATGTTTCAGCGAGACAATCTTTATTTTTCTGATATTGTAAAGACTCTTACCTTGAAACTTTGAACAACTGCAGTAATAGCAACATAATATGAATCATTTCATCATCTTGATCAGCAAAAACGTCCATCAAAATCAAACTTGGTTGTTTGTGAAATGCCTCTTGGTTGTCATAGTTACTTGATACTTTCTGGTATGCCTCCCGGATGCCATGGTCATTTGCTCCTACCTTGAGCAAAGCACCATACCAGATATTTATAGCTTTGAATATGTCTTGGCTAAGTTGAGCTGTTAATGAGAAAAAAATGTCTGTTAATACGTCATAACAAAATACGTCATAACAAAATATTTGATTTACAAAGTTTTTAAAAKAAAAACATACCATCTTTGTAGTTCTCACAAGTATTCAACAAAACCAGTGCTGCCTGTACAACCAACAAAGAAGCTTGCCTGAAAACACCAGTATTAGGACCTCTAGTTTGACAAATTATTATCTGTTTTTCTTTAACTGGTTTCACTAAGCTCCCTCCAAAACCCTCGAAACCTGCATGTGTTGGAAAATTGTCCAGGATACCACTGTTAACAGTACAGATAAATGCTGTAGCTGAATGAAGGATATACTTGTAACTCAGGGTTTGTTGTTGGCAATGATGGGGGTTCTGTATTGATGTGCTTGTGTTTAGAGAAARAGACAATAATTGTAGTATTGCTTTCCAAACTCCTGAAGAAAGTTCCTTAACATGGAGAAAATGAGGCATTACTCCTATGATGTTCAGTAAGAACATCTCCTTTTTGGATTCTAAATTTTCAAAAATAATTCCACCCATGACATCTTTTTGTGGGTCTACGTTACAGCAAGATCTGAATGTCCAATTAAGGAACTCTGCTACAAAGCTAAGGAATGACACAAAGACTTGTTCACTTCTTGAAGAGATATCAAAGCAGCCAACAACATTTCTTTCATGAGTACTGGAAGCTAGTTTTGAATGATATTCTAGAAGATCCACTGCTGTAGAGTTTGGATTTTCGGTGATATCATCAATGCATCCCACAAATATTTCATTCCAAAGGGGAACATACGAAGGCAAAATAGACATCCATTCTCGTGTCACGATAAAGTCTAGAAGTTCAATACTGCTCTTCTGTTCGTTTCCAAACGACAGCGGTTCACTGTTAACGCAGTTGCAAATTAACGACTTCTGGGAATGCATTCTCACGTTATGAGCGTCATCGCCAGCACGACTCTCAAGAATATGCTTTAAAATACTAATTACATAAAGATATTTCCATTCGGAATCGTTACAGTTCTGAAAAAGCCCTTCCAGTTGAGTTTTAGCTGTGGAAACCAAGGGAACTGATAACATCAATGAAGAAATGGCCTTAGCAGTCATAAAGACAACGTGATAATCCGTGTCTTCCAAACATGAAACGAGTTTCCTAATTATATTATTATTTATCAAATAATAGCAAATATCATAAAGTTTCCCGCATGTTCTCCTTCTTGACAAGATAAGCTGGAAAAGCCTGTAGATAGTTGTAAGCTTAAGAAGAAGTCTTTCAGTCGTTCTTCGGACGCTGCTGTTAACCTCGACATGGACTTCCAACTCAAGCAATTCCTGAACTTCCAGATTATCGTAAATGTGCGCGAAACAACGGTTGCCAACAGTAACGGCGTGTATTGTTTCTAAAGTATCCATTTTAAAGTGATATATGAATTATTTTAGAAGAAAGCTCTTACGATGCATCAAAGTGTGTCTTGTCATTCTCGTCCGCCATTTTGTTTTGTTGTGAATAACCGCTGTGCGTGTGTACCTCTTGACATAGCAAACCCTACTTGAATCTTGAAAGCATCTTTAAAGCTTATTACTTATCTTTTGTCCTCTCTAAAACAGATACTCATAAGAAAAAAGGACCGTCATGACCAAATTTAAGAGTACTGACAACTCTAAGTTATATTGATAGTGCATCCGTAAAGTCACTAGTTTTGGGCTACCTGTGGTCGAGGTAGCATGCGCAGATCGTTCCTTTCTTTTCCAACAAACACAACAACACAAAGATGTCGAGTGCTGCTCCAAGTCGTCCTCCTCCTCCGATCCCCAGGCCAGGTAAACCCTGATTTTTGCAATTACACCTTTAAAGACTACATTAACACCTTATCAATGTCATCGCCGATTGAAATTTTCGTTCTTTCTTTCCAGGGCAAGTACAAGTTGTTCGAGCTTGCTACAACTACACAGCATCCCAGGTCAGTTTGTGTCATGTAATGCATCACGTCTTTTACTCTTTTACTCTTGCCAAACCAAGTTTTCCTTAATATTTCTCTAGCCTGACGAACTAAGCTTTGAAGAAGGTGATATTCTGTACATTCTTGACAAAGTAAGTACCATATTTGGTTTTCTTTCTCGGTATATTTTAGTTTTTGCTGAAGTTCGAAACTAGTGAAACTGCAATAATGCTGAAATATGCTTGGTGTATAAGCTCAATAAGTTTACACTGCCTTATAGCCAGAAAAATAATTATTTTGCTTCGATAGCAGATGGATGGAGTTTCATTGAAATCATTTGAATTATTTTATTAATTGATCTTAAGTGCATTTTTTATTACCACAAAAGAAAGTCTTGTCAAAGATATGTATGGGTAAAAGGGTTTTAACCGGAAGTAAACTTAGTTTACTAACTGATGAAGTAATATAAGCTTACCTAGGTATTTGAACGAAATATAAATATATTCCTAGAGCACCGAACGTAAACTTGTGTTTATATTTAAGTCAGCTTGATGCTTTTAGCATCGTACTTTCTTTATCTATTTTAATTTTCTGGAGGTGTGGTTTATTTATGTTAAGTATAAGTCTGGATTAGGATCGTTACTTCTATTAATATGCATGCATGATGACATAACCTACCAAGAATGCGGCGATCCATAATATATCTAAAGCCTAATCTGTGTTATTACACAATAAAGCTATGTCTATGGAAACTAAACACATTTTTTACCACGAAAAAAAAAAAAAAAAAAAANCTTCATCTTGATGTCAGTATTTAATGAAACAAGGAATATTAAAAAATGATTTAATGTTCACAGATTAAAAGAATACGACTCAATCGAAAATAGGAAAAGTTTGAAAAAAAAAAAAAAAAAAAAAAAAAAAAAAAAAAAAAAAAAAAAAAAGAGCAGCTGTAGTTGTGAGTTCATATAAGCTAAAATTCAACATTCAATTTGTGTTAGATGTTTTGATCAAAATACTTGTAGAATGAATTTTGTTATTGTTTTACTGTAGTGATATACATACATGTAATTACTTATTGGTTGTAACAAAGAAAAATAAATATATTGTCACTTAAAAAGTGAAATATGTGGTCATACCTTGGGACAATTATTTGAAAAATAGGACTGGTCTTCATACATGCATTGATCAGTGACAGCATAAATTTACTTTACTTACCCCTTCACCTCAAATTATGTAAGGAGCAAGTTTTGTTTTTATAGTTTTTGTAGTCGCACTAAGCTTCAATGATATCTATTTTTAGGGAGACGGGCAGTGGTGGAAAGCTAAAGTAGGCAAGAAAACTGGACTTATTCCTTCAAATTATGGTATGTAATATTGAATAAATAGAAAACATGTGGCATGCTGTGTGTAGTTTTATATATAAAGTTATAAAATGAAGCATGTGGGGTTAGCAAAACACAAGAGAAGTGTTTGGAGAAGTATGACACATAGTAGAGTGCTTCTCGACACTTCTCAAGTGTTCTGCTAATACCCCTTGTGCTTCATAACTCCACACCACAGCACATGTACAGCAAGCAAGATTTTTTCTTTATAAAATACAAATTAGAGTGTTATTTTGGATATGAATCACAAAAAAGAAAGTGCGCACTCATGCTTTGTGCTGACTCATAAAGCTAACACTCCCATCCAATAAGAATGTGAGATTCATAACACTCAGGTATTTTATCAAGTTATATGAATATAATGTAATACAGCTATTATAAAAAAAAAAGGTTGAAGAAGTTGTTTTTGCATCTTGCTTACTAAACTTGAAATGCATTATATTTATATGTACGAAAATGCTGTCAGCACAAATGAAAAAATATTATATACCAGAAAAAATGTTCACACCAAGTGTATTTGGTATAAATATTCCACATTATTTTGATCTTTTGCTGATTAAATTTATGTTGCATTTTGCATTTCATCCATATTGCATTTTGAGCTTGGTTTGCAACTTTCAATTTGCAACTTTAAAAACCTTCACCATCCTTTTTTGAAATATAGCCATATAGCATTCATGAGTCTTGCATTGGATTTCATACTGCTGTTAAAATAAAAGTCAATCTGCATTAAGTCTGTTTCCTTGGTGGAAACTAAGAGATTTTGTAATTTAATATGTCTTGCATGGGGTTTCATACTGCTGTTAAAATGAAAGTCAATCTGCATAAGTCTGTTTCCTTGATGGAAACCAAAATATTTGTTCTTAATAAGCTTCTGCACTTTTCTAGATTTTCAGTATCTTAAAAAGTTAAGAAAAAAACGCTCCAAACTGAAGTGATTATAATGGTATATTATTCTGTTTACGAATGCATGAGTTACAAAGAAAATAGTTCTGATTCTGTGATAATTACTTAGAATCAAATAAAGTTATTCTAAAATGCTTTGTTTTTTTAGTTGAAGAACACACAGAATCAGTTGAAAACCCCCTTCATGAAGCAGCAAAAAGAGGTATACTAATAAGCCAGTTATTGTGCCAGATCAAGATATATACAACAGGACCCGCTTGTACATGTAGAAAGCCTGGATAGCTCTATCCAGTGGATAAATCCTTATCCAGTGTAATAAGATGCTGTTGTCCAATAATTTTTCCACTGGATAAGATTTATCCCTTGGATAGCGCTATCAAGGCTTTGTACAACTTTGTACAACTAGGCCCTGGTTGACTTGCAATTGTGCAGAACTACTGTTGTTATAATAAATAAATATAATTTCATTTTGTTGCAAGGTAATATTGGATTTATGCAGGAGTGTCTTCAAAACAAAGTAAGCATATAGATCTCTATTGCAAATTAAAATAAAAAATAGTAGTATCAAATGAATTAATAACAGCATCTAGTAATAAACTTAATAAACTTGATTTTCCTTCTTTGAATTTCATAATGCTTTTATCATTTGATTATTAAGGTATCTGTCAATGGACTGGATAAATCAGGTTCAACCCCATTGCACTGGGCAGCGCAAGGGGGACACACAGGTAATGTATAGTAATGAATGATTACCTCACAAAGTCAGATAAGACATGGTTTCTTGATCAGTCCATGACTGCAAGAGAAACTCATTAATAACATATGTTACTCACAATTCAGGTGAGGGCAAAATATATTGAAAAAATGTAGTCTATAATAAAAGTAGATGACTTAATTCTGGCCTAATTTTGGATTATTTTTTGTGTTTTGTTTACTTTCAGAATGTGCAAAAATGTTACTTAGTCAACCCAGAGTACAAGTAAATGTACAGGTACCTAATTTGTATATAAATAAATTGGAAGCTTTATTCCTATAGTTAAAGTTTCATTTATTTATCAGTGTTCCTTCCTGCAAGCGACTTCAGTTATACTGTCCTATTTAGACCGAAATGTCTGTTTAAGAATATGGGTTGTAAATTTGGGAAGCCAGAGACAAATTTAAATCACAATGAATTCCTTTTTGCATTCACTTATTCTAAATTTCATATTCTCTCATTCATTTTTTTTACCAAACCTTTTATTCACTCGTTTATTTTCAGAATAAATTAGGAGATACTCCCCTTCATTCTGCTTCATGGAAAGGCCATGCTGATATTGTAGAACTTCTTTTAGAAAAAGGTAGGCATTTTAGAGTGTATATCTATGATTATTTATTTTAAGTTTAATTTTAGACTTGAATATAGAGTTTCTCAAACTGTGATTGGTCAAGCAACAACCAGTGATTATGAGGTTTTCCAAAGCTTGAAAATTTTCGACTTTTTTCTGATATTTATTGTCTAAAATCATACTTAAAAACAATTATTTCCCTCAGGCTCAGTGATTATGGTGATATTTACCTTGCCACTCGAAGACTTGTGGCTCAGAAAATATTCCACTGATAATCACTTGGCCTTTGGCGAATAATATTGTTAAGTAATAATTTATTATAAATTTGATTACTATATAATAATATTATTATGATATATGTATGATCCAAAACAAGTGGCTGCAGTTCTAGATGACTGGTTGAATTTTTATACTCAATAACAATCATCACAATTAATATTTGTTTCATTTGTTTGAAAGGTGCAAAGACAGATATAAAGAATAATGATAAAAAGTTGCCATATGACTTGGCAAGAGATGCTGATGTTGGTAAACTCTTACGAGGCAGTGCAGGTTGGTATCTTTGTTCTATTTCCTATACCTTTTGCTTAAATTCTCATATTTCTTTTCCCAGGAGTATAACAGAGTTTTCAATAGTGGCCAGCAAATCTCTCTGGGTATTTTACATGAACTTGCCACCCATTTTGATTAAAGTTCCCCACAATTTAGGGAAAATATAAGAAAGATTCGTTTGCTGCTCCCTGTCTATTCATCACGTTTTGCCACTTACTCAAGCTGCAAGCTGGTATTGAAAACCCTGGCATAATCAGCCACTTTGAGGATGGTGGGGTAGCTGGGTGGGGTCTTTAATTGACCTCACACTCTGTTCATTTAAATGACTTTTAGATTTACAGTGCAACATGCAAAAGTATGACATCATATTTGATGTATTTGCATACTTCTCTGTATGGGCTTTTGGCTGTAAATAAGCATTTGCATGCCTTATTTGGTAAAACCAGCTAGATTCACATTGAAATGTGTTGGTTTAAAGTATGAAAGCCTGAAAACAGTTGTGTGTAAATAATTAATATGGTCATACTTTCACATTGCACTGTAATACAATATTTAAAAACTGGGGTCTCAGAGCATCTTGAACCTCTTTCCTATATGCATTGTGTGCCCCTAGTTTTTATACTTCAAACACATTTGTAACGCCATTGATATTTTCAATTTCTATTCTCAAAGGTGAGGCAGCAAATGATTATGGTGAGGATGAGGACTCAGATTAACCTGGGTATTTTATATCTCCTAGATCATAGCTATGTAAAAAGAAACATTAACTTTGATATAGCCAATGTGCATGAGCACAAATTTTTTATTACAAAAAACATGTTGGAAGCATGTTGGGAAACTGGGTACTGAGGCTATAGGCTAGACTACTCTAAAAAAAAATTCCTTTACAGTTGATTTCATAAAACTTCGGCCACTCCGTGTCTGAAGTTTGTTCGCAAGTTCACTACTTTGTAATCGATTTCACTATGAAGTTCCGGCAGTTGTGGGCAATCTTTCAAACTGATAATGCAGTAGCTTCTAAAACTCATCAAATCTACCGTTCAAATTCAATTTTCAAAGTAAATTTTATTGCGACAAAAGGAATTTGACTCTGTACGTTGTCTGGAATACAATTTTCAGAAAGTATATGGCTTAGAGAAGCAATTCCAGTATATATTTGAATTCTAGACATAAACAAGTCACGGCTGATTGAACCAATTTCACAATAATTGGGGTTTGCAAGTTCGGGACCAACTTGGAGAACTTGGGAACTAACTTCGGAATTACAGCGGCCGAAGTTTTGTGAAACCAACTGTAATGTATTCAATAGAAATGTACTGTAAGTATTAAAACAAACAAAAATAACAGAGTATTTTTTAGATAGTTCCTTTTATTTCCCTGTTCCATTTTTCAGTACTGGGTTTTCAAGAGTGCTTTGTGAGATTTCATTCACATGATTGCATTAGCTTATAGTTGTCAGGGGCAGACCCAGGAGTGGTAAGGGGGGGGCAATATATTATCCTCAGTAAGCCACCCTTTTCCTCACATACCTGTTAGAACCTTTGTAATAGTCACCCCCCCTGCAAAAATTCCTGGATCCACCTTCCTGGTTGTGTGCACTTGAACACTTTTGTTCACCTACTTTGTGAATGGTTTTCTTCATAGTCTTTCAAACATATATAACTTTAAGCTGTAAAACTTTAATTTTTCTAATGTTAAAAATAAGTAAACTAAAATGTACATTATTTTTTATAGTATGATAATGATAAATCTAGTGACATTAAGATAATATCCATTTACACTTATGAAGGTATAGTTTATTATAAAAAACGCTACACATAAAAGATGTTAATATGATTACATGATAATAGTTCTTTCTTGAAAACCAACTTTAATAATTTATGAAGAAATTGTTAAAATAGACAATTGCCATAATACTTTATAAAAGAGCTATTCTAAATCTTGGGTTCTGATTGGTTGCGAGCATGTGCTTTATGACAGCACACAGCACGCTCGTGCACATTTTATAAGAGAAATAAAGAACTGTGTGGAGTTATAAAGCACTTGGGGATTGGCAGAACACTTGAGAAGTGCAGAGAAGCACTCCGCTACGTGTTGTGCTTCTCCTAACACTTCTCTCATGTTCTGCCAACCCTTGCATGCTCTATAACTGCACACAGCAGGCGTGCACATTTTCTATTTCTTTAACAGATCTCACTGCACTGTGTCAGCGCATCAAAAATTTGTACTGCTACCACGCCCACTTTTGTCTCCATGAGGAAGACTAATGCAACTCAAAAACGGAGGTAAATATATTTGAAATCCAGAGACTGAAAACAAAGTGGGCTTCACAGCAGACAAAATAATGTGGGCAAGGTAGCGGTACGAATTTTTGATGTTCTGTCACAGTTCGGTGGGATCCATAGTATCCATGTTGTGCTGTTTTATACAATAATTTTATATTTGATTTGTTAAGTATCTATATATTGTAATACAGATAAAATTTTAAAAAAATTTACAGTTTAAAAATCTTCATAGTTAATAGATAATAACTGTTTCCTTTATATTTGGATGAATGTTGCTGTTGGAAGAGTTTTCAATAATGAACCCCCACCCTTTCTCAGTAAAATTTGCTATGGTTTGTTGTTTGCCAAATTTCAGTTTCCCTCTCCATGGAAAGATACATAACTTCTCGTCTCTAGCCTGCAAAGCAGGCATTCTTGTGATGGAAGAATTGGGGTTTTGGGGTTCCTGTTTTGACAACTTGTCTGCGAAAAAAATGGGACCTAGCTTCAATTCTTGGTTTCAATTCTCGCTCATTCCAAATTTTCAAAGTTCCCCCAAAACCATGGTTTTCCCTCAAATCCACAAGAATGCCTGCTTTGCAGGCTACTGGGACTCCAAAAACTGCTTTCTGCACACCCACAACTTGCAAATATTTTTCTTTTTTCATTGATCAAAAAAATACTAATTATAGCTCAACCATTATGAATTTAATGAGGAAGTGTGTTGTTCAGTTATAAAGCACTTGGAGATTGGCAGAACATGTAAGTGTTAAGGATCACTCCACCATATTGTGCCATGCTTCTTCTTCAACACTCCTTTCATGTTCCACCAATTCTGGAGAGTTTTACATGTATAACAGAACACAGCATGTGTGCACATGTACCTTTTTTTTACATACTTAATCATTATAATGACTTCTTTTGTTCATGATGGCTCATTCTATAGATAGAGCCTATAAAAAGCTACTGCATATCATTCATGGGCTACTCTGTTGTTGCTCATGCTGTTTATTATTCAGAGGAAACTTTTGAAGTGAACAACTTGATTCTGATGGTATTTCATTAAACCTGTAACAAGAACAGAAGATGAATGGGAAAAAGGGAATAATTGAATAAATGAACGAATGAAAAAATATAAACTATAAAAATTGAATGGATAAATAACTAGGCAGCTTAAACTTAGAAACACTGGATAGAAGATTTGTTGGCCACCATTTTTTATTCTCAAATATATAGAGACAGCCTTTCCAAACTGAGTATTGATTTCAAACTCGTGATGTGTAGTTGATCATATGACTCGGCAGAAAAAAATGGATAACATATTCTTACCATGAGTAAATAGGAAGTGACCGCCGTTGCTTCAGCGTTGCCTATTCAATTTAATCGTACTTTTCCCATCGTTTCGCAGTTGTGTCTTAAATCCTTCATGACTTCATCTTTTCCAACTAAAGATGAACTTTTTCGAATCGGAGGGAGAACTGTCCGGGAGCCATGAAGATCGCATTCGTTCTTGCTGGGGAATTCTCGTGATGTTTTTTCCTCAAGCTTTACTTTTTTTCTCTCTTCCTTGGGCAAACAACTCTTCAATCTTTTGTTGATGTCTAGTGCCTTCTGAATAAGCGCTTCAATCTGTTCTTCGCTCAATGAATCTAAATTTTCTGCAACGGAATTTGGATCCGTTAGATCAATGGCCACTTCCTCAGCGTCTTCTTCGATTTCTCTTGGCTTGATCTCAGCCATTTAACGGATTCATACGATCCCTATGTCTATGGTTTCGTCAAATGTGCTAAATAATCAATAAAGACGGTAATAAAACGGCAGGATTACCAATGTTTGCACATGGCTTTTTGAGGCAATTGAGTTGTTTACATTGACTATGGCAACATCGTGCACCTCCGTCTTGTTGAAAACAAAGGTTCCTTTGTTCTTTAAACCAATCAAAAGAAACAAAGAATTCAACTAACCAATTACGTCTCTTAATATATTCAAATGTTTTCAAACTTTCACCAATAGAAGGAAGTGTTTTATTTAACCAATCAAAAGAAGTATTACTTTTTCCAATCACAAGCAGCGGATCAAAATTCGAACTGTTGCTTGATGGAAAACATGAGGTTTAAAAATTTTTTTTTACGATTTGCTCCAACGATTTCACTTTCACTTTAACGAATTTTTATACGGAAGTCCACTAAATATTTCTTTAAAGCTGAATTAACGTAGTTTTATCGGATATACGTTTTTTTATGGAGTTCACAACAAAGGGATTCATATTACATGACTTTCGCGCCATTTTATGTGAAGACCACATGAGCTACTAAGTTGACTACAGCGAGCTAGTATTGCAGAATTTCTTCATATTTTTGAACAATTAGATATAAAATCAGTGTCATACAGAGCAAGTTCTTCAATCTCTTATGGATATTTTGCTGTTAAAGTAGCTCAAACGGAAGATCAAACCGTCCCGAAGAAGGATTAAACTACAAATACACTGTACGTACACAGCTGATGTTTACAGCCATACCTCTTATCAAACCATGTGTGGTATTTTACTTTAACTGATACATGAATTAATGCACCAAATCCAGTAAATTTTAGCAATGAATGCGTCAGAAACACAGTGTCAAGCAAACTCTTCTCAAAGGAACTCTTCACAAGATTCCTTACAAACACCAAGTCAAACAATTTCTGTTCAAGGGAGCACTAATAATAGAAACTCGCTCAACTCTTCAAATCTAGCGACGACTACGTATACTTCTCAAGAACCAGAAATACCACAGGCGGTTTTAAGCCAACCATGTAATCTGACGTCGATTATCACAAATGCTAACGATCAGAAAGGACAAGTGGGCTGTATTGTAGCCAATACAAATTTTGTAGGTCCACAGAACCCCAAGCTTGAGGGTGTCTTTGACACTACTTTTAATGCTGTCCCTTTATCAAAACACACACAAATTTTAAATGCTATAATAAAAATTCAGAAGGAGCTACAAAAAAGTTTGGATTCCTGCTCCAGTCCAAACTCGATTGCACCATCTACATCAGCATCATTACCCAGTAATCCTGGTATTACACAAGAATCTGGTAATCAAGGGGTTGCAGAGACTGATACCCAGCACCAAAGTAATAATAGTTTCCCACCAGTAAATATTGGAGCATGTTTGTTGTGTGGAGGAGATTGCGGTTGTGACGAAGCTGATAGTGAGGAAGATGAGGAGAACAGTTTTTTACCCCCACCTCGTATGGTAAGCAAGTGGCTTCTTTTTTTTGCTACTGTTTTCATAGTATATGCTGATCAAGACAAAGGTTATAACAGGGAAATTGGCAGTGGGATAACATAAATAGAATAAATGGTTAGATTAATAACAGTTCCTGTGTACTGCTGACCTAAGTCCACCAGTTGACAATGCTCCATTTTACAGTTCAGTTGAGTGACCTTGAATTATACGTAGTTCCAAGATGAGGCTGGAGTTGCCGCGCATGTTAAGCAACTATAGTTTTGCTATGTGCGGAAACTCCAACTTCGACATGAAACTATTATTCCTGGTCACTGAACCAAAGTATGAAGTGGAGTATTACGAGGATTTCATTCAGGATTAGAGTTCGAAGAATGCTCCAGTTTATTCCTGCTTAAACTACACTGTGATCTACTCCTATTATTTCAAAACTTTAAGTGAAAACCTGCCAAGACTCTCTGTCTAGTTCATCACATGCTCTTCTCCTATTATTTCAAAACATAATGAATGCCCAGCCAGGACTCTCTAACTAGCTGTTCATTGATCACATATTCTTCTCCTAATATTTAAAAAAATTCAATATCCAGCCAGTACTTGCTGTCTAGTGCATGATATTCTCCTATTATTTCAAAATATAGTGAATAGATAGCCAGGACTCTGAATTGTTCATCACATGCTCTTCTCCTATCGTTTCAAAGCATAATTATAATGAATACCCACTCAGCACTCTCTGTCTAATTCATTATTTCAAACCTATTATTTCAAAACACAATAAATACCATGAGCAAACACTCTCTGGTTAGTTGATGATCTTCTCCTACTATTTCAAGACTTTATAATGAGGAAATCAATTCGTTGCAAGTTTTGTCTTCAGCGCATAGCAATGAAAACATTGGTATTATTTTACATTATTTTGAACCATTATGGAATTTAATTTCATTGAAATCGGAAAAAAAATTTATCATGGTCATGTTTCCAAAATGTCCATTCTTCTCATTTTATGTCTCAATACCATTAATGCCAGAAATCTTTTCAAGGGCTACAAATAATGGCTGGTCTGTTGCCGGTCATGATGACTGGCCATATTAGATTCATTTTGCTCATACTTTGTTGCTGCCTCAAATTTTGACAAGGCAAAGATTTGAACAAATTCCAATTCTGGTCAGCCACGTTCAGACATTGCCTGATGACTTGCTCTTTTCAATTTTTCATTCAAATCTGGACTAGTAACTCTTTTGTCAGTCATGATAAATGGTATTTATGCATTATTACATTTTTTCTTCTAGTCTAGTGTGGAAGTTGACAGTTTGTTTGGCAAACTAAAAGAACAAGACAAAGATACACCAGCTGAGCCAGCATCAGTAAGTACTGTATACTAAAATACACTCTTTTTGGTTTGAAAAAGTTAGAAAATGCAGTTGTGGATTTGAAAGTTACAAGCAGGACTATATTTTTTTGGCACTAATTTGTTTTGTGAAAAAATTGTGATATAGTTACATGACAAGAATGACAGCCTGAAATGATTTCATAACAGAAAATATTTCAAAAAAAAGTTAAAAGTTAAAAAAAGTTAATAGGGATAAGATCAACTAGCAAAAAAATGCTACATGACCTATATTTTCTACAAGCAAAATAGTAGTTTGATGAGCAGTTTGCCATTTTGCTTTTGTGAATTAATCTATGTTTTATTAACTTCATAATATTTTAAAACATAACATTAATTTAAAAGGTGAATATTCATTGAAGTAAAGCTAGAAAGCTATAAATTGAGACATTGCATGCAAACTCAATCATTCTCATGTCAATTGACTACATACAACGATGTGTTTGTCAATTCAAGTGAGTCTTTAGATTGACTTTAGTTGGTGGTAACTGATGTGGCCCTGAAGATGACTTCTGTTTGGTTGTTCAATGACTACAAACACACAACTCTCCTGGAGATCACACTCTACACACTCACTGAAAGATTCTGGGACCCTGTTCAACCCATTCACTTTTTGACTAAATTATTTAAACTTGGAAGATGACTTCTGCTCATGTCAACTGTCAAAATGTCAGTCACCACCAACAACAGTCTTTCTCAAGACTACATTCACCCAGGACAAGGGCACTTCACAACAAACTTAATGATGTTTGTTTATGCTCAGGTCATCAACACTAAGATGCACCTGCATCAAAAGCAGGCCCTCAACTGGATGATCAACAAAGAAAACAGCAATGACCTAGGGCCTTTCTGGCGTGAAAATGGCCCACAAGAATGGTTCAATGAAGGAACTAAGAAGTTTACAGATGAAAGACCTACATGCATTAAGGGTGGTATACTAGCTGATGACATGGGTTTGGGAAAAACCTTGACTGTTATTGCCCTGATCTTCACTAACCATTTGGATGGAAAGCCTATGTTTATGAAAACAGAAAACCCCAATTCAAAAAAGGTATGGATGAAAATGTCATTGGTTGTGTAGATTTTCTTCATACCCTAGTGTATTTCATTGTTACTTTCATTGGTTAGAGACCTATCCCGGCATTGCTTGACTGTCCAGCCAAACAATGGGTAGTTTTCCCAAGAATACAGAATGTCTGACCAACAATCTGATCTCAAATTCATAAGAATATTTTTAGTAGTCATTGATTTTTTTTCTTAATGCACCTTTAGAATGCATTATTTTAACTTTCTGTAATCAGTGTTGGTTCCACGCTGTACATACAAAAACACATCATTTTAGTTTGTCCAGCATAGCAACAGTAACTAGGGCGGTAGAATAATGAATGTGGTTGATGAGTGTATTCGGGCACATTGATTGCTTACTGTAGCTAATATGTAAATATCAGAGGGCAGAAAAAGAAAGGGATTGCTTGGGGTCTTTGTATTCCAATCTTTTAATCAAGCTGTAAACTGTATACTGTATGTTTATCAAATGAATTTATCGTATGAATCTTATAGAGAAGAGCATCTGACCAGTCCCTAACTAACTATATATTATATAATATCAGATGGAATTTAAAGAAAGGGATTGTTTGGTGTCTTTTTGTATTCCAATCTAATCAAGTTGTAAACTGTATACTGAATGTTTATCAAATGAATTTATCTTATGAATCTTATAGAGAAGAGCATCAAAACTGGACACAGCTGATCCCACTGAGCCTCAGAACAAGAAACCAAGTCTAGATTCTGCTTCAAATGATGACGATGAGGTTGTGGTTATTAAAAGAGAAGGGAGAAAGAAAGAAAAGAAAGCTGTAGCAATAAAGAAAAGAAAAGAAGAAATTATGAACAAAAAGAGGTTTGAGAATCTAATGTTATCAAGACAGTAAAATGCTGTTTGAAAATAATATTCTATTCAAAAGAGCTATTGGCAGCAGTGAACATTAATTGTGATATTTGTTTTTCAAAGCTGCAAACTCAAGAAAATGACAAGTATATTAAATAAATGATACTTATTTATCTGTCTCACAATAGCTGTTATTACATTTGAGCAACTTCATCAGGGCATGATGTAGACTGGATAGTGTGTCTCTTATATACAATACAGCTTATTGATTGATTTATTTGTTTCTGATTGGTTGGTCAGTTCATGCTTTGATTGGCTGTTCCATTGTTGCATCTCATGTAATTGTAGTAAATGTAAACTACCCTTAAGATGTAGTTTACTGTGTTTCCAGGTTGTTAGAAGACAAGAAAAAGAAAGATCCTGGTGCCATGTTTAGACAAATATTTCTTCCTAAGATTTTGAAAAAGTAAGTGAGAATCTCCCTATGGAACATGCTGCGCATTTACTATAAGTATCTAATATTTATTATAAGGATTTAATAATTATCTTACTAGGAAATTTGTGGATTTAGTGTGAGGTATTCAGAAAATTGAAGATGCTTTATGGTAAAAGGTCGTGTAATAGGACATTAAAACAAAAGTCTCAGTGGCAGTCTTTATCTGTGGCCTTTGCTAGGCAAACTAAGACTGGACTGCTTTACTGGATTGATCTTTATTCGTATATCTCGTCAATCTTGACTATCTCTGACTTATCCGTAAAACTACAAGTAGATCAACAAAGGAATGTAACTATTAGTAATTATATCAGAATTATAACGCGATGGAACAAATTATTAAAACTAAGATTCAATACATAAACACTTTACAAACATATTAAATGATCGGTACCTTAGATGTTAACTTCTAACTTGAAGTCCTAACTTGACCTCTTAAGACGAAATCATTAAGCACGGGCAACTGCCACACATCCCAAACTAAACTAATGCAATCTGATACTCACTTAAGAAAACAGTGACTGTGTTGCGTGACATCAGTCACATTATCAGAAAGTCATGGAATTCATAAAGCATCTTCAATTCCAATTTTTCCTGCTGTATCATAAATGTGATCGTCCAGGTGAGTCTAGTCTTGAGAAAGACTGCTGTTGGTGGTGACTGCCGTTTCGACGACCTGAGCGGAAGTCATCTTTAGAGTCCACTGGACTCATTTCACACCAAATTTCAACACCTAGGTTCAACACTTGTCTGAAGTACAGGTTTATGTATTAATTTATTAATTTTGTGTTGTGTTTACTTTAGAAAAGAAAGACAAGAGAACAAGATTAAAAAAGAAAAGGCAGATTCATCTCCAGCCCAAAAACCCATTGCTATAGATATTTCCCAACCAAGCACATCAAAGAGCATTCCTGATATTACCCAGATTGATGATGATGATAGTAGCGATGAAATCACTGATACACCGACAAGGCCAAACAAGCTGCTTATTGCCAATCCTGCTCCAAGTGGTGCTGCTAAAGCAACATTGATTATATGCCCTCTCTCTGTGTTGAGCAACTGGACAGTATGTCATTTACTTTTCATTAGTTTTACTAGCATATTTAATGTTCTTTTTTCTTATTACACTCTTGAAGTGGAGAATTCATCAAAAAAAAAAAAAAAAAA